CCGACAAGCCGACTGTCTGGTTGCCGGCGTGGTTCATAGATGGCGGTAGCTGTGCAGAGTTTTGTGTCGACGTTACTTTGCGGGGGACCCGATTCTGGGGAAACTGGCCCCTAACAGCTTTGCTGTAATAAAGCGCTGACGAACGCGCGTCCAAGATGCCTATTGTTTTAGGTATTTGCTTTAGAAAAGTTAGTACTGCTGAGGCCAGCACGTGCGTGGAACACCAATCCCTGCATTCTTCTTGATGCTTGGGTAACATAGCAATAGGTCTATTTCGGCGGCCGCTTCGCTTGCTCGCGCTCAGGAACAAAAAGCTTTCAGCCTTTCCACTCTGGTGAAGAAGGAAGAGCAGCGGAGCTTCATCGCTGCTCTTCCTTCGTCCTTGAGGTCTGGTTGCCGCCATCTTTAAGCGACGGCGACAACCAGACAACCGTTAAGCTGGTTGTCTGGTTGCCGCTGTCGCTAAAAGTTGACGGTAGCTGTCCAGAGATTGTGTCGAGATTTATTTGTCCACGGACACGTAACTGGGGAAACTAGCCCTTAACAGCTCCGCTGTAAAAAGAAACAAAAGCGTACGGAACAAAATGGTATACAATATGTCATCACCCTAAGCAAAGCTCACATGAAGGCACGCTAGCTTTGACCTGTGCCTCGACGGCGTCCGAATTTGTTTCTTGTTCTTCTCTTTGTGTTTTCCTTGTGATCTCGCGTTCCGCACCAGAGTAGCCACGTTTTTACATGTGTGGTAGCTTGAGGTGCTCAAGTTTGCTATAGAGTCTCTAGTTTGTACCACCCGAAACAGGTTCTAACGAGTCGCAGCTCCACCTGAGTAACGCAGGAGCCTATTGCTTGCGTCAGCATCGTCGCCGGAGCCTCTCGCAGCGGGTCACAACGAGCGTGACACTGGCACTCGGCGACGAAAAGACGGACGCCTCTGCTGTTTCCAGGCGTCTCTCGTCAAGCTTGTGGGATTTCCCTTGCTGCTACCCGTCTCGGAGAATGACACAGCACACGGGTTCAACAACACGTAAACATTTAATGACCGCTATCACCTGCGCCGCGATCCCAACAGCCCCCGCGCATCCGCTGCGACGGCCTTTTATCAGCGGCGGAGCGCCGCTCGCGTGGCCAGTTGCCCTTGGCCCCCTCGTGGTCAAGATGACCACTTATGATTGTCGGAGGGGCAGCCTGGGCCAACCGCTTGGAATCGCCAGGTTGCCCACAACCTTCGGCGTGTTTGTCGCCTGGAGCGGGTCGGGGATCCTCTAACGATGACGTACCGCACAGGCCTTGTCTCAGTAAGATTTTCAAGCGCTGGCCCGCACTACTTTGGCCGCAGAGCCGTGCATGTAGAGAGTTTGGCCATTAATTGATAAGAATAGGGCGAAAATGAGGGCACGTCATTGGCCGAAATAGTTTCAATGACCTTGAGCGCGATGACTAACAGCTCTGTGTAACCAATTCCACTACCCACAAGTATTCCCCTAGCGGATGCTGTGCGCTTAACAAATACCCTCCAATCACAAATTCTGGGTAAGGCTGTAATTCATCTCAGCACGCTAGAGCCGAAATTTGCGATTCTTCATAATTGAATGGGCAATGCAAATGACGTTGTCGTCATGGCGACATTAAGAACGCAATCAAACTTGCTTTTGACCACAGTCGCGGCCGCGGCCACGACGGAGTGAAGAGTATACGGCCCGGAAAATGCATCTTGTCGGTCCAAAGAATTGCCGCTAGAGGCCAACAGCGCCGAATATCTCCCCCCTGGCAGGCAACTCAGCCTGGATTTTTACAGGAGCGAAAGCACTCATCCACCGCAACGCACAGAAATGCTGCACGTGGCGCTGCAGTCACGGTGCGCGAATCCTTCAAGGTCATCCCAGCGCATTCTTACTTCGCAAGTTCTTCACGGGGGGGGGGGGGGGGGGGGGGGGAGGGGGGGAGTATGCGTGCTCGCGACCATGGATCGCGAAATGTCATTTCCGAATGCAAACAACACTTTTCGCTGACCCAACGTAGTGCTGCAGCCGGTATGGGATTGTACCTTATTGGAGTTGTAGCATTGCGTAGAGAAGCAAACGCAAGCGCTGTGAGTTTGCGTTAGAGTTGCGCACTCCACGTTGCGCATGCGCGTCATCGCCATGCGCCAATCCAAGACCGCAATCCTGGGCTCCGCGCACGCGCAGTGTGGAATACGCAACGCTAACGCAAACACACAACGCCTGCGTTCGTTCGTATACGCATTCTAAAACTTACTACTGTTTCACTGGCCCCCAACGCCAACGAAACGTGCTGCAGTGAGCAGACGTGCAAGTAGGTAGGCGTCCCTTCGAACTGGAAAGGCTGAGATCGGCAAAACGACGGCGCATAAAAATTAAAGTAACTAAATGTTATAAAAGAAAATTGATAACTAAAAAAAAAAAAAAGAAAACATTTTAGGGCGGGGAGGGGGAGGGGGGGCATTTTGTCTGGAAAAATATCGACAGCGACTTTAGAAGTTTTGTCGATTGTCAAAAGTTTCAACTTTGACAGTCGCGACACTATCAATGTAATTTTACATAGATCTTGAATGTTTTCATTGATTTTAGATTATTTCGTCTTTGGGTTTTTGTAGTGAGAACAGCGTTTCTTAATGCATACGTTCTGGGAACATATTGTAAAAAATGGCACACAGTTCATTATTTCACACGAAAATTGTCTGAGCGAGAAAAGGCAGCGAGAACGCACAAATATCAGCGCTTATTTAAGAAAAAGAAACAATATTCGATGTTACGTCTAAGCTGTATGAAAGATGTCGTCTTTAAAGGGACTTTGAAATCTTCAAAACATATTTTGAAGTGCATGGATCGAACGCGTATGTCACAATATAAAGTTTCCGAGAAAAGCTTGTTTAACTAAATTATTACGATGTGAGACACATGTTAAGTTATGAAAGAATACACGAACTCAACTCTGTTACGTCACGCCGCGGTGGTGGCGCGTCGGCGCACTTCCGGTCTGGGGCGGTGGGCGGAAGACACCGTATGAGACATGCATTCCCGTGTTTTTCTGGAAAAAAACAGAGAATAAACCTGCCTTCTTGTCAAAACGCCGCGACGGGGCTGTACCGAAAGAGTCGGGAAAGGTTTGGAGGTCAGTCTTCGTGTGTTTTCTGCCTGCTCAGTTTGTCCGAGAACGTGGATAGGGGCCGTGAAAAGGGCAACCCTGACGCCGTCGAACTACAACTGCTTCTGCGGGAAACACTTCGAGTTAAATTCACAGATAGATGTGGTCGCCAGATCTAATTGTTTTTGTTCCAACATTAACGAGGGAAAACCACCAAGTTGTCCGGACTGCCCGCGGGTTCACTGAGTCTTCAAATTCAAACGGCCGCCTGATCGTTCGAACTGTCGTGTGCTCTTTCAAACTTGTCTGTTTTTTGTCGTCTGCTCGTTCAAACAAAAGGGGCCGGGGTCCAAACGTTGACCCGATGATTGCGATACAGAATAATTGCAGGCTTCAAAAGACTTTTAAGTAGGCTCGGTGTAAACAGTCGATACAAGATGTTGATAATTAATACCTGTGGCCGTCACCGACTTGTTAAGCCTGATTCACATGGTCTGTTCCCGCTTCCGATTTTTAATATCGACGTCGATTATCGCCGCTACCGTCTACACTTTTGTAGCACGAGCGACGTCGCGAGCGAAAATAGCTAGAAGAATCTATCATGATTTTAGCGTCCATTCTGCGGTGTTCACGCGAAGGAGTCGCCGCACGTCAACCTATTTACGCAAAGTTTAGCGGCGTAACGAGCCTTGATAATTTCGCTCAGGCGACTAAAGTGGTAAGACATCGCTATGAGGACGTAGAATCGACAATCACAACTCGAAAAAGAGTACGCAGACTCACACAGACGCCGACAACGTAACATTCCATTGGTCGGTTGACGCGGGAAGCGGTGCTTCTTACCCATACTCCATGGCGCATGCGTTCGAACTGTCGTGTGCTTTTTTAAACGTGTCTGCTTTTTGTCGTCTGCTTGTTCAAACGAATGCGGCCCGTAAATGAAACGTGGACCCGGTAATTGATATGAGAAGTAAGTGCAGGCCTCAAAACAATTTTAAGTTTGAAGGTTTGTTGGGTTAAGTAGGCTTAGTGTATACAGTAGATACAAGGAGATGTTGATCGTTGTTACCAGTGGCCATCACCGACTTGTAATGTCTGATTCTGCTTGCGATTTTCAGTATCGACGTTGACCATCTCAGCTACGGTTCACGCTTTTGCAGCCCGAGCGACGTCGCGACTGAAAATAGTGAGCAGAATCTTATTGTGGGGGTTAGACTTCAGCGCCCATTCTGCGGCGTTCATGGGAAATGAATCGCCACACGTCATATTATTCACGCTAAGTTTTGCAATGTATTGAGCTTTGTTAATTTTGCTGAAGCCGCTCAAGTAGGCGAACATTGTTAGGAGGACGTAGAATCAACAATTCTAATGCAAAAAAGAGCACGGGGACTCACACAGACGCCGACAACATCGCATTTCAATGGTTTGTTTATGGGCGACGGCGAGCTTCTTGCCCACCCTCCATCGCGCATGCGCGGCGCCGGTGGCGTCCGCTAGGGGCGCTCCGATTTGGCTGTAAACATGAGTTGGTGTATACCAATAAATTAAATCCAAAATAGAGGTTAGTTTCGGTTTCGCTCCAGAATTAAAGCGTGCATCCTGGAGTAAATATTACGCTAAACTGCGTTTTCGTTTTCAGCATAAAGAGGTGACCTGCGCTCATAACACCCTAGCTTCCTCGCATTACCAGAATTAATTTGTGTCGCTCAGTAAAGACAGCACACAAAACAGGCTCAGCAGCCGCACGCATCTCCGACCCTCCCTATAACCGCCATTTTAGAAAGCAAGTGGCACCACCTATAGTGAATTGGAGTCGCGAATATATACACGTCTCTGCTTGGCCACACGTCGGGCCGTCCCTGGTGGGATTTGGTGAGCGGCGCGTCACCCACCTTGAGTTTGTCGAGCTCGTACTCGATGTCATCCCCTTCCCCGATGCCCTGCATCTCGTCGATCTGGATGTTGGCTGAATCCAGGACTGTCAGCAGTCGGCTGTGGGGCTGCGCACACACAAAACACACGACAAGGTCAGACACGAAGAGCGGTTCCTAAGAAGCCTGTTTTTTCCCACCCACCTTTTATAAACTGGACAAAAAAAAAAAAAGTAATAAAAATATGTTAACGTACTAGTTTTTCTTTTTGCTTTAGAAATATTTTTTTAAAAAGGCGTAAAAGCTAAACTACTGCGGTCTGTGCATGTGAGTTGCAGACGCTTTAAGTACGCGCCAGATTGAGCCGCCCTGGCCGACCTTGTCCTGTCTTGCCGAGAGCAGTGAAGTGAGCGTTGACAAGCCTCCACAAGGGCCTATGCTTGGGAGGTGTACGCAGTAGCATCTAAAGTGGCAATGACCTCTCCTACTCTGGCAATAATGAAGGGAAGCGAACGGAATAGGAGGAAGCGAATATTCACGGTTGGTTATGGCGGCGCCCATGCACAACTGCCTGAAAGCGTCTTTATGGCCAGGGGAGCGCAATAATATGGACTGATCTTCACAATAGGTCTCTGTCCATTAACTTTTTAATATAGAAAATAAACCTATACTACCAGATAGAAACTTCCTGAGCGTCATCGAAACTGACTAAATAAGTTAACTTTAGATGGACTTGGTGGGCGTGGTAAGCAAGGTGGTGCTCTTCGCTTACCGCTCGTGAAACAGGCGCAAGGCTAGCGGTGGGAAAACGCGGAATTGAAAACGCCATTCTGCGCAAATATCATTTACGTTTTCGCACCGCTAGACTTGAGCCTGTTGCACCAGTAGCGCAACACCGCGCTTCTCAAGCGCTCCAAATTGTTCCACAATTAACTGATTTAGTCGTTTTCGATGTCACCCTAGCAAGTATCTAACTCATACCATACGTTTTTATTTATCAATTAAAATAGTTATTTAACAAGTTTTAGTTAATTATCAGACATATTGTGACGATTAAGCCACAATATTACGTCCCTCTCTCCGTATAACGTATCTAGGAGACCGCACGAGTGAAGCAATCAGCTTTCACAGCCTTTGAAAACAAATCCTTAAAGCACCCGAAAAACACCCTGTATAAAAAATTCAGGTAATCAAAAATATGCGGACGAATTACCCGTCCCGATCGATTGGCATCAACGTTACGAAGCCACCGAAAAAGAAATCTTGGGTGGCGCCAGGATATAGATAGATTTTGTAGAGACTTCCGCACATATTCACCGCACTGCACTAGGCAAGTACTATCGTATGGCACAATCATTGATGAATACATAAAAAAAGTTACCACCTGGGTCTTCAGTAGGTCATCACGCGTTTAACGAAACCGTCATTGCCATGGACGATCTTCGCCGACACCAACTCCATGCAGTTTCCATTATACTCATTACGTGCCTGTGACAACCAACGGTCTTGTTGCGCGCGTGATGGAAGGAGAACCAGAGAGCATAACTAGAGCATAAATGTAACTTTTCTTTAGTAAAAAAAGACAGTATATATCTTAACTTCATATACCGGAATTAAAACTGTCCATAAGGCTATTGAACTGAAGATATAAGAAAGCAAACTGGCAAAACGGCTAAAAATAGCAAGCAAACAAAACGAGCTAAGATAATCAGCCTGCCAAACTGACGACTTAACTGGCAAAACTAATAGAAAAAACGGACAAACTCAGCATAGAAATAACTAACCAAACTGTCAATTGAGCTGATAATTCTGCTAGTTCAGGCGATGACACTGCTAGCTAAACTCTTTATAGTAGAGGTCGGAAACCTTTCGCTGCAGCGGGCCACATCGCCGCAAAGCGGAGACGAAGCAGGCCGGATGGAAAACCGGGGGAAGGGAGGGGGGGGGGGGGGAGGAGGGGGGAGGGGAGACAATCAGCTTAGAAACAAAAACCATAAGACGCACAGCGAACTGTTATGCCAAGTGCTCTTGAAGCAAAGGTTTTGTGTCCATATTTCTAGCAGAGCCACACAGTTCTGATTCCGAAGTCCAAAGACCCAGACAAATTGAAAACCATCGAGGTTTGCCATCCAACTGCGCTTTTTAATGTGGACTACGAGACTTCTCCTAAAATTCTGACCAGTCACTTGGTTAGAATCCCCAAAGCAATCCTGTGAGCGCGGAAAAATCTGTGAAATTGACACCGGTACATACCCCGATTCCGACAAAATTTTATGCCAGATACGACGGCCTTAATTATTGATTCTCTATGGATCACTTTGATGCACAGCAATTGCTGATGGATAATACAACGCACATCATACGAAACTGATAATCTGGGGGGCCGTTTCCTAGTCAATACGTACAATTACACCAGGGTTACAATCAGCCATAATTCTTACGCTATTACTCATGCAGTTTGTGTGAGCTGCAGAGGTGGAGGGGGCATTTCCTGGTAGTGTGCCGGGGGCTGTATAATACTGCCTCACGGCCTGCCTCATCCGGCCCGTGGGCAGCCGGTTGCCGACCAGTGGTCTAGAGACGCTTTAAACACGCGCTAGAGTGAGCCGCCATTGCCGACCTTCTTTTGTCTTACTAAGATGCCGAGCCACTGAAGCGGGCCTTGACGAGCCCCCACAGAGGACTATGCTGGGGAGAAGGACACAGTATCTCCTAAAGTGGCAGTAACCTGTCCATCTGTGTCAATGATGAAGTGAAACAAGCGGAATAAGAGGAAACAAAAACTGAAGGTCTGAGCGGCGCCCGTGCACAGCTGCCTGAAAGCGTCTATAAGGTTGCCAAACTTCTCAAACTATACTGAACTGGTTGTGATTGGGGTCGAACTATTCAAACTGATGGCTCAACTATCATAAGGGGTTGCCAAAGTTCGCAAATTGGTAGCTGAACTGTCTATACGAATTGCCAAGCTTCTCATATTGTTGGCTGAATTGGTTATACGGGATGTAAAAAAGTTTACACCGGTGGCTCAGCTGTTCACGCGAGTTGCAAAACTTTTCAAACTGGTTGCGTATATTAATAAAACAATTTGCTTTCATTCTTTTTTACCCAGTTCACTTGAGGTTGAAAGAAAAAAGAACAGTCATTGTAGTTAACCACATTGCATTAGACGCGTTCAATACTCCAGAACCCGTGTGTCCACCAATAAATGTGTTCGGTCATTCTTACAATTACTGCAGCTCAAAAAGTGTTTGTTTTCATTGCTTGGCTGGTCGACCACATAACTTGAAACAATAATCATTACTTTGGGGATTATTTCGTTCTTCATTGTGAGGATTGCTTTTTTACTTGCAATCTACAACGCTAAAGTACTATTCACACTGAAACATGCGCACCAGTTATCATTCACTCAACGATGACTATCAACTAATTGTATTTCGTCTTCTTCTTCTACACCTTTGCCCACAAACCACATTTCGTTTAACGAAAAAATAGTCAGAGTGCAGGCGAGCTGGTGTAAGTTGAGCATGATTGTAAACCTGAGACTGGGGCAGGAAGAGAACACAACAGAAGGTAGTAAAAGAGGAGGCAACGTCTCAAACTCAGCCTCCTCCGTCTCAAACTCAGAGGCTGAGTTTGAGACGTTGCCTCCTCTTTTACTACCTTCTGTTGTGTTCTCTTCCTGCCCCAGTCTCAGGTTTACAATCATGTTCACATTTCGTTATTTTTTTAGAACAAGAATTCACATAACAATATTACAAGTAGATGCCCAGATTACAATATATCAGAAGCATAAATAGCCAACTCGCCCAATCCTTTGTGCTAAGATTTTTTTTTATATAAACACAATTATACATATATAAACATACTAGCATACATATTTAGGAGTTAGAGTGATTGTTTAATGAGGAGAACTTATGCCTACAAAATACAATAGAAAACTACCACGCATTGTGCGTTGGTGGTCTTCTATTGTATTTTATACCAGGTAATTGTTTCCGGTTTTGATTCGGGCTTCGGGTATTGACAGATGAAAATAACTTTTGTTCTGGTTACGGCTACTAAAGAAAGTTCGCTATTTAACGATTTTCGCTCAAGCTCTAAAGAACTTTGCTGTGTTTCAAGTATCTCCTTTCCTTGCATAAAGTATTTGTTGTATCATTTCCAGTCAAAACTACTAAGCACATGCCTCTTACTTTGTTGAACAACTCTATTTTTCCTAAACAATTTGAACAATTTATTTTAGTTAAGCTAACAGTTAATCCTCCGTACGTACTCCACAATGTGTATTGTAATTTTACAATTTTAATTTGTTCATTTCATCTGGCAATGTTCAGCGTTTGTGCTTATTTTGTGTAATTTTTTTAGTCTTATCACAGTAATTAGCAACAGTTATGGGTACGTTTTCAACATTTTATTACTTTAATAAGTAAATTCGCGTAACGTGCAATTTCCGAACTCAATTCTCCATCACATTTTTTTTGGTCGGGGAAGAAAAAACAGAGCATGAGTGTCGACCCAGTTCGCAAAATAATTGCCTTGTTACACCGTAATGACTGTTCATAGGTGTAATCTTAAAACCACATTAAGAAAACACACAGAAAAAAAAACAGGTGGTGCATTAGTTGTTGCACGTACGGTCGCCAAAAGAGACTTCACAGAAAGAGTAATCGGTGCAGAACGAGATTAAAGGAAGAAGTGGTAATCCTACATGTATTACAAGAACCAATTGACAATGAAGACCCATCTAGGGTCTGTTGACACGGGAGAAGGACGAACGAGCGAAACCCTGTCATCTGTCACGACCACCAAGGGGCTTAAGCCGCCATCTCATCTGGTCTGCCATCCGGATGCGTTAAAGTGCTTAGGTAGCGGCAGTATCAGATTGAAACATGCGGTAGAGTACGAATCATGATCATGGCTTCCACTCAAGATCGCAGGCGATCAAAAGGGCACCGTCATCTGCAGTTCAAAAACGTGCGCACAGAGCGACGACGCGCACAGATCAATGGATTCGCAGCAGCTGACGCTGTGTTGGCTGCTGCGAATCCGTTACGGCATTTTGCCATCCACTGTTTCTAATATGCGAGCATCTCGTGGCAAACCGCAGGCCGCGAAACAACCCCGGTGGT